TTTCCAGTTCTGTTCCATCTCTTTGGCAAAAGAGCCTGGTGGCATCAGGGGACACAAGCTAATGCTGAGGCTTGGAGAGACAGGAATGTGGACTGCAAGGTGCTGGGCCATTTGGAAGCAGAACAAAACTCCTTGGAGAAGGAAGCTGACCCTCGCATATAGTTGTCACCATGGGCAAGGTGGGACCATACTTTTTTTGATGAATGGAAGTGACCTGAGCCACATCTGGTCTTTGTGCTTTGCATCTGGCCAGAGCCGATCGGATCTGTTTTTTTGGGTGGTTTTATTGAGTCAGAGACCAAAGAAGGAAGACAGCTGGGAAGCCACCTCCTCCCCTGCAGGAGCATGACAGTGGCTGTCCACTTGCCCAGAGCTTGTCACCTCGTCTACTCCATGAGAAGCTGAACTTGAATCCTAGAAATGGGGTCCCTGGAAATGAATGATCTGCCCAGATCTTCCAGCCGTGGTCGGGCAAGCTAGGTTTCTTCGAGACATTGTGTGCCGTGTGTTTGTTTGGGGCTCTCAGGGGTTTGTGCACATCAAATCCAATGTGTGTGGGCCTCACGTGAAACGAAGGGAAGACTAAACAAACTGTCTAGCTTCATTTGCTTTTGTCTCTGTTTAATTTTTTTTGTTATTGGGGTCTGAACCCAAGGCCTTCACATTGAGCTACAGCTCTAACCCTTTTTCATTTTTTATTTTGAGACAGGATTTCACTAAGTTGCCAAGTTGTCCAGGCTGGGCTTGAACTTTCGATCCTCCTCCTTCAGACTCCCAGAGTGCTGGGACTACAGGGGTGCACCACCATGCCTGTTCACTTACTTTTAGTTGACTTTAAAAATCAGTAATTTTGGAGGCCACATAACTGAGCAAATATGTTTTGTTTTGTTTTGTTTTTTCTGGTACCGGAAATCGAACTCACAACCTTGTGCTTGCCAGGCAGGCGCTGTGCCACTGAGCTAAATCCCCAGCCCCGCAAGTATGTTCTTAGTCTCCCCACCATCTTTTTTTTTTCTTCTGTGCTGCTGAGGATTGAGTCCAGGGCCTTTGCACTGAGTAACATCCCTAACCTGTTTTTATTTTGAGACAGGATCTTGTTAAGATGCTAAATTGCCCAGGGTGGGCTTGAATTTGTGACCCTCCAGCCTCAGCCTCCCAGTGCTGGAATTACAGGAGTGCACCACCAGGCCTGGCTTTCTCCTACCACTTTGCTGCAGATAACACCTCCGACCTGCGGGGCGTGATGATAATGGTTGCCTGGTTTAGTTCTCAGGAACATGAAGGCTGTCTTTGTTGAAACCACTAACTCTTCCCTTGTACACAGGTGTCCAATGGGTGACCCTCTGACATCAGAGGGTGTCCTATCTCCTCACGCTTGGACGCTCCATGAAGGAACTCTTTCTCTTTTGCAAAACTTGACATCTCAATGAATGGCATACTGGATGATAGGCAAAACAGCCTTGGTTTGGTAACACACATGTTGTTGTTGAAACATGCCCGTGATTGGGGGGGTTTAGTGTCTGAATAAAGGCATCATTGTTACAATGAAAACCAGAGTGTGAAACATAAGATGATTTTAACAGAAAAAAAGTTTATTTTAAGAAGACACAAACAGCTCTAGCTATATAAAGAGTATAGTTCAATTGCTGGTAGCAAGCCAGTAAGAAATGCTTTAAAAAAAAATAAAAGAAAAAGAAGAGACAAGACCCTTTGTAATATCAGCCCACGGAGGGCCCTCTTCCACTTTGTGTTGGCCTCCTACATCCACTAGGAGCGTGATCTCGCCTTGTTTCTGCTTCTTCTTGAATTTTAATCCGGGGACACGATCTCATCACTGGGCACGGGGAGGCGGGGGCCGGCTTATCTCTGCCTTCCAGTTTAGGACATTGGTCTGTAAACCCCTCTCTCCCTTGCGTGTCTTAAGGACGTTATTGGTACTCAGGAAGCCCTGAAGGGCAAGCGCTAACCTCGGAGTCACCTCCTGTCTGCGCAGGACTGGCCGACGCTCGGCCGTCACTGTGCTGTTGACACGGGGAGTACCTTCACTGTTTAGGGTCCAAGGCACAACCTGGTTTCCCTTCTCACTTCTGGAAATCCTAAACAGAAGACAACAAAGAACTGCTTCGTGCGTGCTTTGAAAAAGGGAAATCCTGGAAGTTATTCACCGATCTGATTTTTTCAAAATTTAGATTTCAGTAAGAGGGTGGATCCCTGGGCTCAAATGATAGAAATCGAACGGAAGGTCGTAAGAAGCACATGTGCCGAGCTAGTGAAAGCTGCCACCTGAGAGCTATGTCTGCGCGTCTCAGCCCACACGGAGTGGAAGTCCTGGCTCACTGTGTGCTGCCCTGTCCAGAAGTGCCACTGAGGAGTCTTTGCAAACGTCTCCCTGGGGAAGAGCCAGCGCAAGCCAATTGAAAACAGGCCTCCAGAGACACGAACAGGGACATGCCACAGGAGCCCCACCATTCCCTTGCCTTGCCCAGTCCCACCAGACCTGGCTCTGGACCAGAGGCCGATGAGCCTGCTGGGTGGTGTGCGCGTGCCTGCATGTGTGCGCACCGGGAATGCGATACAACAGTGAGCGTGGTCTCCACATTCCAGGTGGAGAAACCACACCCATACACATAGGCACACGCCTCCTCGGCCACGTGTATCCTTCAGTATTTACACAGGGACTGTGAAAATGTGAATCTGAGCTTCAGACCTTAAGTAACACGAGGAGTTTAGGTGGGAGAAGAATGGAGAGGGATGTGAAGAAGTTTAAAGCATCATTTTAAAGGCTCAGCAAACAGGAGGAGGCGGTGTGCCGAGTACCTACTGGTTGTGTTGCTCCGTGGGGCACCCAGAGGCGCCCACCCTGGGGGCCGGGGCCGGAGGCCGGGAAAGACTGTGGGTACGAGATTGCATCTCACTGCTGTTGTTGCTGGCGCCCAGTGCTCCGTCCTGTGCTAGGTCCAGCCACATCAGACGGTAGAAACCACATTAGAAAGCAGACAGACGGACATGGGTTTTAAAGCCAGCTTTTGGGACCAGGAAAGCTGATGATCTCTAAGAAATCACAGACTGGAATCTTTATGGCCTGTGTGACTTTCCAATGGCAGACTTCAACTCGTGATGGCGCCATGGGGCAGGACGGTAGCAGGGCAATGACCAGACGAAAGAGAATAAAACTCAGAAATCCTCAGAAAATTCTTTTCTACTGGCTTACCCCACACGTGGGGAAGCAGAGGCACATTGAATAACGAGGACAGGTCCCAAGAAAAGAACGAGGGTTTCTACACCGAGGTAGTCAGTAATACGAGGGGAAGCCCCACAGGGACACCCTATGGCGCCCCTCCACCTGGCCCTGTGTGCTCAGCCTGCAATGACAGTGGTGTAGGCAGGAGGGTAATGAGCCACATCATCTGGTACACAACCCACTCATCACATGGGGCAGGTCACAGAAAGGCCTGTCCCAGAAGATCGTGTGGATCAGGGGTCAGCAAACAATGACAAATGGGCCAAATCAGCGACAGCCATAAACTGACAATGGTTCTTACATTTTCCAAGGGTCATAAAACAAACAAATGAACAAACAAATGGTAATAGCCAAGAAGAATATATTATGGAGACCTTATGTGGCCCACAAAGCCTAAAACAGCTACTGTCTGGCCCTTTGCATAAACAGTTTGTCAATCCCTGGTCTAGACGATGGGGGAAAGCCCCGCAATCTCTGGCGAGAAGCCTCTGAGCATGCCTGAAATGGGAAACCAGAAGTCCGGGAAAAGCAGGGCCACACTGGAAATAATGGGGAAAGCCACTCATTATGACCAGCACTGTCTGCAATGTGCCCAACCTGCAAGTCCACAAAAGAGTGAGGTATGCATGCACTGTGGAAACAGGCCCAAGAATAGCTAGAGAGCCATGCAAAGAAGCATTAGGCAAAGAATGTTCTGGAAAAGAGACTGCATACAGAACTCAGTACTGATTAAGGAACTAACTCTGTCATTGTTTGATAAAATGGAGTTTGAGCCCAGGGATTGACAAAAGATCAAGTTAGGTGAAGTTTCTAGAACACAAATAAGTATCTCATGAACATCTAACAGTCTGAAAATCTCTCAAAAAGATTAAGAAAGGAAGATTAAAGTAGATTCCAGGGAAGCTAATATTGGTTTGCCCTACTTTAAATAAACACTGAATACAAAATATACCACTAAAAGTTAAATAGAGACAATAAGGGACAATGACAGGAGAAGTCTTAGTTTTTCAAAAGAAATCCTTAGAAGATTCTCTTAAATAGGAAGCTTCTACTTAAAAATGAATTTTATTTTTGAGACAGGGTCTCACTATGCAGTTCAGGCTGGTTCTGAACTCACTATGTAGCCCAGGCTGGCCTCAAACTCACAGCAATCCTCCTGCCTCAGCCTCCTGAGTGCTGGGATTACAGGCGTGTGCCATCATGCCTAGCTAAAATATGAAATTTGATTTATAAAAATTCACTTTTTCACATACATTTAGGGAAACATCCTCATACAAAGTAGGGCACAGATACTCGATGCGGTGGGAAACAAAAGTTTCTAAAACTGAAAATCAGATATATCTTTGGATTGATGAACTATAGAAATCTTGTGCATTTTTCTTTAAATAAATATTTTTTTTTAACCTGGGAAATTCATGAGTCATAAAAGTAGAAGCCAGCTGTGGATCTCCTACAAATGTAGTGCTTTAAATGACAAAACACTTAGCCCAGAGGCAGGAGACCACTGCTGCTAGGCCCTGCCTCAGCCTCACTGCAGGACTTTTAGGTAAGCTATCTGACCTTTCCTGGCCTCGGTGTCCTCATCTACAAAATGAGAGAGGGCGGTCCCTTTCAGCTCTAACGTTCTGTGACTATAGATAAATATAGAAATAAGATAAATTCAACAATCTAGAGATAAGAAATATTCCCCCAAAGTAAGCTTTGGAGTCAGTAGAAAAAGTAGCAATAAAATAAAAAGAATAAAATTGTAACTACTAGCCAGCGTAAATATATCTCATTTAAAAATTAATGAAAATGTCTGTAATTTACAATTGATCAAGAGAATCAGAACACACATATTGGTATTTCTTCACCATCATACACACGAAGGAGGGAATGAGTTTAAGGTGACGGGTACAATGAGCACAATGCTGCATTTGCATGCATCACGTTTTATAAAATTGGACATTAAGAAAAGCTCAAGACCACATACAGAATAAAATTTCTATAAAGCTTGGCATTACAAAGAAGCTGAGAGGGGTTAACTTGTTCTGGTTCAGATTTGTTGTGGCGTTTGTTGCTATCAAATTCCCCTCTTTAGGCAAAACCTTAAAATCAGTCATACTTCTGCCAGAGCCCTCCTGGAGAATAGCCACTCTGATGAGGATGTGGATTTAAGGGTTGGTAGTACCAAACCAACCTAACACCTTTCCCTTTTTCTATGTGTGAGTTTAAAACATTTTTAAAAACCCAAACCAGGCTAAATGTGCTAGTTAAGTCAAACCAAAAGCTTTTCGGATTGAACTGATTGCAGAGTTGATTCAATCTAATAACTTCTTAACACCAAACAAACGTGTGCCTGACCAACACGATGCTTAGACAGTGCATCTCTTGGCCAGGGATCGATCCCTGTGATGACAGCCAAAACAACGGGGAAGGTTGGGATCAGGTGGAGCCTGGCTGTAGTGATTCAGGGGCTTGAAGGAGTAGTCGCTGGAAAACACACACACACTCGCACTCATGCACACACACTCACTCCCACAAGCACGCACGCACACAGACACATACCAGGACTGCTGCTGTCGCTGGTCCTGGGACCACATTCTGAGAACCACTGGCCTAGATTTTTGCACTTGACTGAACAAAAGTATTACCTGTTTCACATAACCCATTACTCGTGCAAACTTCTTTCTGCTAAACTTATAAAAAGTGCCCTAAAGATATGTCCATAACCATTTTCTATTGTAGTCTTCTATAAATCTATCTCCAAGTATTCTAAAACGTTGCTTATTTCATATAATTGTTTAAATCACTATACTATTTTCTGCCCTTTGACAAAGGCACTTCTTTGTACCTCCCTCCCACTCTCTCATCCTCTTAAATCCCTAATATCTTTGTCACTTATAGCTGAAATCCACACGAAGGCTTTGAAGGAAATGGGTGCTGTGGTACAGGTCTCAGTCTCACACCAAGCTGAAGTGATTGCACAAACAGAGATAAATGGTGGGGTGGGAGAGCAGAGGCCTGGGCTTAGTCAGATTGAACCTCCAATAAATTAAGGAATCATCACTGATACTGGATGACTGACGTCGATTGGACCTGGATCAGATATCTCACCTCTTCACAGACAGGACACATTTTCACAGACTCCTTAAGTTGTTATGTTCTTTTACTCAAGTGGTAAGTAGTATTAATTCTATTTATGTAAACATGTTAATGTACAATGTGAATGACCTAGGCCTTCCCGGTGGCTTTTAGTAGCCATTTCTGAGAGTCGCCTATTAATAACCATATTGAATAGCTCTGGGTATTTGGACAATTTAATTGACCGTCAGCTACTAACCACACTGATAAAGGTCTTTTCTATGCTCTGGAGTTAGCTGTCAGGGAATCTGGCCTGTCCATGTGAAAAATACACTTCTACAACTAGTCACTGTCTAATATTCTGCAAGTAGAATGTCATAACTTTAGCGTAAGGCTTTTCCCCTGCTAAAATGCAAGCGACCCTCAAAAGAGGTAGCATTAAGCCTTATAATCTCAAAGTAAGTGAATTTATCTCTTTCCTGAGAGCACGTTTTTCTTAAGGAGGAGGAGAACACGGTAGGAGGCACTGAGCAGGGTCGATGCTAGGATGCTCACTTTCTCCCCAGTCCTTGCATCCTAGCAAAGGCTCCTAGCAACGAATGGAAAATAGATAGCAATTAAGTATTTGGTCTGAAAACAGATAGCCACTCCCCTCTCCGATAAGAAGAATGAGACTTGGAAGCAGGAAAACTCATCTTACTTACACAGCGCAAGTCACAGGGCGGGGGCAAGGGCGAGGCACTTGCACAGCCGCACGAGCAGGTGCCTGCTTACGGTTTGCACCCCCAGTGCCTTGCTCATCTCACCCTGGTCCTGGCCCTGGCAGCTCACAGGAAAGTGAAAGCTCACCGTTGTGTCACAGACTTGGCAAACATGGAGGGCTGAACCAGTGCAGAACAGAGCACTGAGCCTGAATGGTCTTTTTCCTGACTCGGTCAGGAATGAGGAAGGCGGCAGGCGCACAGGCAGATCTGTGCAGTGACAGGTACAGAGAAATGGCAAATCGGATCTGTGTGTTCTATCTAGTTAACATGGATGTCAGGCAAAATGCTTACTAGGAAAGCCTTTGAAACTCTCCCGTCTTTGCACATTGTAGGTAATTTTTCCAGATCAGCTGGCTGGCTGCCTGTAGCCTTGTCTCCTTCATGACCGAGCTGTTGGCTAGGGATGAAATTCACTGGTATTAGGGCTGAGAGGCCAGGTGGGAGACCTAGGCGGGAGGCCCAGGCTGGCAAAGAGAGATGCCAGTAAAGCTTGCTGTTGTACGGAGAACTTGCTCTCTGCCGCCCACATCTGAACCACAAATATGTAATGAATACCCACCAAGTTCAAAGCGCTCTTAGCTACCGATTCACTGCCTCTCCTAGAGACGACCTCCTCTTCTCCTGACTCCAGTGAAGCCAGGCTAGCACAGCCACCTGCTCTACTGGTTGGAAGTGAAGGGAAAAAAGGGTATATATAGCAAGGACTTGAGGTGGAAGCTGACCTCCTGGGGCCAACTTTGCTTCCCTCCAGCTTCTGGTATATTTCACCTTGAAAAATTATTCTCATCGTTATTTGTTCCCAGTAGTAGCAGTAGCAGTAATAGTAGTAGCTTCTCTGAAAACCTTCCTGAGAGGGGCTCTTGAGTTCTTTTCTCCAGCCTTGGCAGGCAGAGTGGGCGCAGAAGGCGGTAAACACTCTCATAAGTGCCGAGGCGGGAGAGAGAGTTGGTGCTTTGATAACTGAGGGCAGAGAGAGGTTGAGTGTTAGAAGTAGGAAAGATGCTTGGTGTTCTGTTAATCAGTGATTGTTAGAAGTTTTACGGTTTGGTTGTTTGTTTGGAACAAGGTGCACCAATGTAAGATATTAAATGGTATTTCTAGTCCTCAGTGTTACTTCTGATTGCACAATCTGTCCCAAATCTTCTTATACTAATGGGGGCACCACTGGGCATGTGATAGCAATAGCAACGATGCAGAAAAAAGTTCTAAAAATTCCAGATATACAGTTTCAGAGAAGAAAACAAGAATCAAGGTCACTGAAAAGCATAAAGGTATCTGGGCATTCAGCTTTAGAATCTTGGGGAAATCTCCAGAGATGGTGATGCGAGGGGAGAGGGAAAACACACTAGAAGTAACCAGAAGCTCCCAGAAAAACTCAACAGAAGTAACAGAGGTCCTATACTATTTGAGTCTGAAACTCTCATACTTTCAAGTTCAGTTACAGGTAACTCGTAATCGTTCCTAAATCACCATGGCAGCCTCGGGATTTTATCAGGCAAAAGCACAAATGCTCCTTCATTTCCCTATGAGGAAAGTGGTTCTGTCTTTTGGAATTCTGAGTCTGTGCCAGGTAAGTGTGGCATTCACATATAAACCAAGGCCGGAAATGAATCTGTTTTATTTCAGGCAAAACCTCTGCAACTTGGTTAAGATCTTCAAAACAAATAGTTCAAATACTTCCCCCCGCTTCCCCCCGGTACTGGGAATTGAACTCATGACCATGCGCTTGCCAGGCAGGCGCTGTGCTGCTGAGCTAAATCCCCAGCCCCTCAAATACTTTCAAAAGCAACTGGGCTTTCATTATTTGTCTATTATTTAAAATGGCTTCTTTCTAAATCAGTGTGAGTGCTGATCGCAAAGACATTTGGTGGGCCTGGCCTGTGCCCACAAATCTAGATTTCAGAACTGGACCAACCAAGGGCCTAGGCCTGGGGCTTCTATGTGAGAAGGCCTCATCTGCTCAGAACTCAGTGTGGCTTTTCAGCCTGGAGTATTGGTAGTTGAACCGAGCATTTTCTTTTCACTGATGACAAAAATGACTTACCAAAATTGAGATCTGCTTGTCTCTGCAACCTGGATAGAAATGAATCTGATGGTTTCAGTGGTAAAAGAGGAAGGAGTGGGAGAAGACTCTTTGTGAAGCAAGCAACAATTTCATTTGACTTTTCCTTTTGCCTTTTGGGATGAATAGGCAATTAACTTTCTAAAACTGCTCAGCAGGTTGTCTTTATTAAGTACTTTGTCTGTCTGACCCCCAAGATCCCAGAAATCAGGCATATGGAAATCAAATGAGTCACTGCTCTTGTTGGCTTTAGAAAATTGAGCTGACAAGAATAGTTAGGTGCCTATTCACTTTGGAGGGGAAGCGGTCACAAGGATTGTTCTAGAACTCCTTCAACATCCCATGTACCTGAGTTCTTACACTTTCTCCCAGCATGGTTAACTGAGAGGTGGTCAAACAGCAGAATGTAAATAGCAAAAAGTGGCCCCTTTTCGTGTGTGTTATGGGCCATAGCAACTGGCAAAGCTGCCTTTTAGATTTTGGGTAGATACTTTTAGTCTATAGGTTCTTGGTTTTTGGAACAGCGTCAGACATCCTTTAATCAAAATCCAACCAACCACAAAGCGCGATTTGAATTGGATAATGTGAAACAAGAGGAATTTACTTTCTATCCTCCTTGAGCCTCTGATGATGCTGATCCTTCAGCTAGTTACTTCCTGTAATGAATGTCACATGCAAATGAAGTAAGAGTTCTTAGAATGTAACAGACGCTAGGTACAGATCCTAGTAGACACCCGAAGGACCTCAAGGGGCATGTGCAAGTTGCACGTTGCTTGGACAGAGCTGAGTGACCACATGGCTGCCTCATTTGTTGGCAGAACTTGGTTCATCCAAAGCCATGCAGTTCTGACCTTTTCTAACAAATGGGCAGTGGCGGCAGAGGGGCGGGGATCAGTCTACAAATGCATTGAAACTCATCACCCTGATCTCCGTATAGACAATCAAACTGAAAAAGGAATGAAGTTTCAGGACAGGGTCACATTCATATTCTGTACCACAAAGGTCATCGATCAACCCCATGCTGAAACTTGAGCACACCTGCGAAACTCTCCCCGGAGGAGAGTCCCACTGTGGCTGTGGAGCCTTGGTGTCTTCCTTGTCTCTACTTATGGCCAACAGGTCCTCCCAGGAGAGTGAGTGATCAGCAGTGACACCCTCTGCCCGACTCCTAGGGGTTGCCAAGCCCCTATCTGCTCTCCCACTGTGCTCCTCAGTGACAGGAGCCAGGGATGGAGCAGCCAGGACACAGACTGAAAAGGTGGCACGTGAGCCCTTGCATCTGAGAATTTCTTCTTTTTTAGTGCACACCAGTGGAGGAAAGGAAGAAACTTGGTCTTCAGTCACGGCAAGGGTGAAAGTATGGATACGCAAAATGTCCAAAGATGGTTCAAGCGCCTGATGACCTCAGCGCTAGTTGAAACGGCCTCTCTCCTGCCATCCGGAGTGTAAGTTAATGTCAAAAAGTAGGCTCTTTTGTTCCTCCCACAGTTCCTTTCCCACACTCTTTCTATCCCCCTTCTCAAGTTTAGTAAGTAAGCCCTGCTTGTTGAAGCCAGGGCTTAGGAACCGGGGTTCTCAGTGGTTTCATAGTCATTTGAAAACTGTGCAATGATTCTCCGCGCCAGTGGGTTAGTGGTCTTCAGCAGTTCGGCTGCTGAGGGGCGGGACCTTGGAGTTGCCTTACTACCCTTCTTCTGGAGCAAGGCCTTGAAATCATCGTTTCTGCCCGCGTCTAGGCTGGCACTGCTGCCTGATCCCGAGGTGGCGGCGGCGGCTGCGGCGGCGGCAGTGGCAGCAGACTCACTAATGGGAGAATCGGCTGTGTTCTTTCCTGGCAAGTGAGAGCTCGGTCGGCCCCCTGCGAAGCCCTCCCCAGGCTCCTTCCAGCCGAGCAGCTTTCTTTTGGACCTAAATAAGAGAAAGCTTGGTCTGAGTGAATTCAAGTAGCAGACGTTTACTAATGTTTCACAGAACTTCCTGTGAAAGGTGTGACTGAGAATGTGCTTGTGGCAGCCCTGAACACATCATGGGGACCAGGTTTTGTCCTCACCTCTCAGCCCCCAGGTCCCTAAGTTGGGTCTCCGGTCCTCCACACCCCTTTGGTCTTTTCTTGCCTTGTCTGAGATGAGGTCTCCTTCACTATGTTGCTCAGGCTGGATTCAAACTTGTGATCCTTCTGCTTCAGCCTCCCAAGCAGCCAGGACTACAGGTGTGCAGACGCGCCGCCGCACCAAGCTACGCCTGCCTTTCGTTGCTCATAGCTGGAGTCAGTTAGCCTGTGCCTGCAGGCTCAGTCTTGCTGGGGTGCCAAGACCGGGAACAAATTTAAGGAATCAAGGCTGGTGCTCAGCGACTGAGTCAGGACAGCCTGGGGGCTGATCCCATTCTGAACTGGTGCTCCATCTCCAATAACTGGGCTCTTTCCACGTCCCTTGCCACCAAGCCCCAGCCTGCGCCCCTGGGTTCCATGTGCTCCCTCTTTCCCTGAGTTGCTGTTTTGATATCCTGCCCAGTGCCTCACATCTCTTCTTGATGGGATTTTGTGGTACAAGAAATTCTGTGAAGGGTTAAATGTCTCTGACTGCAGACAGAGCTCTGAGAGAGCAGATGGAGCCACAATAGGCCAAGCAGTTGCTAGGAGACGAGGGGCCTCTCTTTCGGCACCTGGTCCTTCCCTCCCCTTCCCTCCCCTCCTCCACTTTACCCAAAGATGTCAGTGAATTTGAGATGTGAGGCCCTGCACTGTGCTCACATATTCGGGTATCTGGACATAGTCTCCAGCTGCAATTCTAATGGCTGCTCAGGGGTAGCAGTTTTTCTTTAAGTAGAAAAAGGGAAAGCAATTAGAATGAAGGAAAATGGTTCAGACCTGTGTATCACAGTAAATAAATCTTCAGTTGTGCGTGAAGCCACAAAGACATCATCCTCCTCCTCCGCGATCCACTCGGCTGTTTTATCACTGATTAAACTTTTCTCTTCAGCGCTTGGTTCCACAGAGCTCCCTAGGCATAAGAACCAGAAGGAATGACTTTGACCACAATAGATTGGACAAAGCACGTTCATTTTTACATGTTATTTCACATAATGTTCAAAGCAACTCTGGAAGAGCAGCAGGGCAGAGATTTTAATGTCTTCATTTCGTACAGGAAGAACACGAAGTTCAGAAGCTTAATGACTGCCAAGGTGGGGTGAGTGGGGAAGATTGGCCCAAGTCCCTGCTCCCCCATGCCTTTTTCAGCACAGCGGGTGGTCTGAGAGTTCTCTTGTTTTATTTTTATTTATTTGCTTATTTTTGCACCATCAGGAATGGAACCTAAAGCCTCGTATATACACGCTAGACAAACGATCTACTTCTGAATCACACCATCAGCCCCTCTTGTTTTGGACACAACATTTTTTGAAAAACCGAAGAGCTGAGAGCAACCTAAAGCAATGACTATCGCTCCCTGGCCTTTTGGTTAAGATCAAGCGCAGCAATGACTCTCACCCATCGGGGGAGAAGAGGACCTGTCTGAATCTCAGAGGCTACCTGTGGAGGCAGCGGAAGCACCTTCTGGAATAACCTGAGGGTCTTTTGTTGTGGTGGTGGTGGTGGTAACTAGGGACTGAACCCAGGGCCTTTGCCCTGAGCCACATCCTCAGCCTTTACTTCGCTTTTTGAAAATTTTCAGACAGGGTTGTGTTAGGTCACTAAGTTGCCCAGGCTGGGCTCAAAATTGTGATCCTTCCTGCTTCATCTTCCCAGAGTGCTGGGATAACAGATATGCACCACCATACCTGGCTTTGCTTGCTTGTTAGATTGTATCTATTTATTTTATTTTATTTTATGTCTTTTTTGAGACAAGGTCTCGCTCTGCAGTTCAGGCTGGCCTTGACCTCACTTTATAGCCCAGGCTGGCCTTGAACTCTGAAACAATCCGGCCTCAGCCTCCTGAGTGCTGGGATTATAGGCATGCACCACCGTGCCTGGCAATTGTATTTCTTTATTTATTTATATTTGCAGTGCTGGGGGTGGAACCCAGGGCCTTGCACATGCCAGGCAATCAGGCTACTGCTGAGCCACACCCCCCAGACCTGTTCGCTTGTTTTAGTCACAACAATTACGTTGAGAATATAAATCAGCTTATAAAAAGGTCGTGAGAGTTTGATGTTAAGGGTTGAAAAAGAATGAGGGCTGAGCCTACATGAAACAAGCACATCATAAAAAAGACAATATTGTTACATGAAGTACTCAGAGAAGTCAAATTCATAGACTCAAAAAGCAGCATGGTGGTCGCCAGAGCCTGGGAAGAGGGTTGTTTAGTGGATAGAGACTTTGATTTTTGCAAGATGAAAGGAGTTCTAGGGGTTGGCTGCACAACAGTGTGAATGTACTCAACACTAATGAACGGTACATTTAAAAGTGGTTCACATGGTAAATGCTATGTTATGTTAAAACAAAGACACAAACAAACAAAAAGGATGAGAATCATTAAGTAGCCTAGTTTTGCAGTTCTAGAAAGAGTTAACCTCAAACCATCCAAGAAAGTGAGCTCCCTTTCCACCACAAGGCAAAGAAAGGCTGTGGGTGGCCCCATGGCCTATTGTTCCAAGCTACCAAAGCACTGGGTCTGGGAGGGGACTGAGTCCCGCGCATGAAAGTAAATTCAGTGTGGCTGATGAGAAGTACGATACAGAGAAGTGGAGCCTTGGGGTAGGGGATGCATTCCTGGCTGGGTAGACGGGGCCCTCAGGTCTTAGTGTGTGAGGGTCCAGTGTGATTTCATTATCTCAGCATTTGAACCAAGGGTGGACTGGCTCAGACTTTTTTAATCACTCAAGTTCAATGTCAAAAACTAATAATAGTACAGTCTTAATAACACTATTTATACAGGCATAGGAGTCCCTGGCACACAGATGTACAACAAATGTTAATTTACCATAAGTCTATTCATGACCTTAGAAATATTTGGAAAATGTGAGAACAAGTTAAATGTTGCCTTTCCATTTTTAAGCTTGCATTTCGAAAATACAAATGCAGTTTAAATTGAAAAGTTTAAACATAATAACACATAGCTTGAACCTTTGGGCACAGGTAGCTACACATAAAGCATCAACACTAAAAACACAAATGTATTTTTGGGTTGTTTTTTTTTTTTTTTTTTGGTACCGGAAATCAAATTCAGGACCTTGTGCTTGCCAGGCAGGTGCTGTGCCACTGGGCTCTGTCCCCGGCCCCCCAAATGTGGTTTAAACTTAGGAGTTTAAACAGATCAACACATGTGCCCTCGGACACAGGCAGCTCCCACACAAGATCATCACTGCCCGTGCAGCAGACCCTGAGCGGCCGCGACTTGGCCTTGCAGATCTGCCCCTGGTCAGTCCTGATCCCAAGGACAGGAAAGCCGCCCTGCAATTCCTACTAGAGTAACCCAAACCTTCAAGAGGTGCCCCCTACTGATTTGGTCCCTTAGGAGGAGGATAATTATTCTGGGGCATTTGCTTCTGTCTCTAGCATCCCTCCTCACCTGCACCCCTCCTGGGCTGAGAGAGAAAGCCAGCAGTTTACTAACCTGGAGAGCTTGCCTCCTTTTCCCTGTCCGCCTGCGGAGCTGAGCTTGTCTTCTTACCAGCTAACTGCAGGTCACTGCCGGTGGCAGGACCCCTGGCATCTTCCTCCAGGGTGATGATGGGGCTGAGAGGCAGCCTTGCATCCATCACATGGGCCTCCATCTGAGCTCCAGGGGAGGCGAGAGGCAGGTAGAGCACACTGGGCTTTTTTGGTACAGGGGGCGGAATCTTGCCTGTCTTTTTCTCAGCTTCTTCCTGGCTCTGGAGGCCAATTCTTCCTGGTAAGGCTCTCACCTTGGGGCCCTCATCCTCCATACTTCCTCGGGGAGGTTGCTGTGTTCCTGAGAAGAAAGCACCAGAGGAACTTGCAAAAGGCGTGAGGACAAGAGATGAGGGTGTTGTTGACTCCTGGGGGCTTCTGCCATCTGGGAAGCTGGGGGGCTTTGGTTTTCGCACCACCGTGTGGCTTTCTTGGAGGAGAGGCTTCACGTGGTGAATGGTGCTCTTGGGGGCCATAGCCAAGGTAGGCAAACTTAGTGGGTATTCCTCAGGGACAGACGGTGGCTTGTGCAGCAAGCTTGGAGGCCTTCGGGCCAGTGGAGGCTTCTCAGCTATGGGAGGTTTCACTTTTCTCTCCGGCAAGGCAAACACTTCTTCTGCTCCAGATTCTTCAGTGTAGTCCGGGCTCTCGGTGTCATCTTCTGGCTCAGACTTGCTGACCGATCTCAGGCGAACTGAACGTAGGTCAGACTGAGTAACCATGGGCATGATTGGCTGGTTGGGGCTAGTTTTCTGTGCCAGTTTGGCCCCAAAATTGGTATCTGAGTGATGGCGGCTCACCTTGGTTTTGCTGCGGATGGAGATACTCATCCCAGACAGATCCAAGGTGGTTGAAGAGGTCAGCGGGAGGTCAAATGATAGCCGTGACTTGGACATCTTCTCCATTGGTGATGTTGCGGGTAGTGATGATTTCCTCTCCGGTACCACTGGACGTACCCTGACACTGCTGCTTGGTGGAGGTAAGTGGCCCAGGGTCAAGGACATGGAGACAGTGGGCGTCGGAGTCTCGGACTGGCTGGAGTATCCACTGGAGGGTGACATCAGTCCGGTGGGCCTTCCTGGAGAGGAGACCTCCCTGGCCTCCACCTCGATGGAGAGTTGGGAAGGCGTGGTGGCTCTGGAGGTGGAAGGGGAAGCAAGGGACTCTGAGCTGCCCTGAACTTGGGTGCACTCGATGACTGTGGTGCCAGTGGCAGTGCTAGAGCTGGACAAGGACTGGTAGGTGTCACCAGACTTCCAGTCAGTTAGATACCAGTGATGGGAGAACTGTGTACCTTCTGCATCTTTGAGGGTTGGCGCAGCTGAGTGACCCTGAGTGTCTGGGTGGGATGAGTGATGTCCTTGGTGCTCCAAGGAAAGGCAAAGGCTCCTTGGCCTCTGGTCTTTAGGCAGTGCAGGCCCACCTTCTGGCAAGAGGACTGGCTCGTCTTTGACCAGCGACACACTGCGGGTTGGTGGGGAAGGCTTCTTCTTGGCCTTCCTGAGTGAGATGCTCTTGGACCTCTGCCTTCTGTGCCGGGCCTCCTGCTCAGCATTGAGGGAGGCGATGTTGTCAGCGCTGTTGCTGCCCTCAGAGCTTGTACTGGCGTAAGGCAGGGCGCAGGCCTCACTGGCCTTCTGCTCCTCATCGTACTCCCCATCTGTGGTGCCTGAATCTGTGGGCACGGACAGAGACCGCTCCCGGAATCTGCTGGCCCCACCTAGGCCTGTCTCCAGCCTCAAGGTACCACCAGTGAGAAGGCCCATCTTATGCGGTCTTTCCAGTACTTGCCTTCGTTGGGTGGCGTGCTCAGGGTAGTTGGCTAAGCCACTACATCCTGCTGGGTTATCACGGGCAACAAAGAGGGTAGCTGCCTCCTTAGGAACCAGAGGTGGGAGTGTGTTCACAGAGACCCAGGAACTCCCCGAGGAAGGATTTTTTCCACTTTCATTGACTTGGTTGCTCTGGTTGATTGCACTTGGAGTCATGTAGGTGAAGGCATCTCCCTTCCAGGAAGTGGAGAACGTTGATTCTGTTGGCCCGTTGCAAGAGCTGGGGACGCTGTACACCATTCCCACATTCTCCATGCCAGGAGGGTCTAGGCCACTGTGTGCCTGATGAGGGTCCTCGGGCTCACTGGGAAGATTTCTCAGTACTGGTGAGGTGAGATTTGGGAACCGAGCTTCCTGCCCAATGGCGACTCTTCCATGAACGCCTTGAGGAGCGGAGTGGCTGGGCCTGGCGTCTGAGGAGGTGGAGCGAGCCGCACTGCCTGCTGGGCTGCTGCTGTGACCTGCAGGGGGAAGTACGGAAGGTTAGCAGTATAGCCAGAGGTGCCCTTGTCTGCTCTTTCAAGACAGGACCACCAACTTTTTGCCAAGAAGTGTTTGCCAACAGATTGGTCAGAATTCGTGATTTTTCCTTTTCACAGATGAAGACCCTGGGCAAGTTGGGGTCCTGCCCATCACCACAAAGTAAGTCGCATGGTGCCCTTGAATCATCCGCATGCTGCTAAAGGCTTTCAAGCTTTGAGGCTCGGTTTTAGAGTGGAAGCATCTCATGGAACTCCCTCGGGTTTTCCCTGTGCTTCCTCCCCAGGGTCCTGAAACCACCACAGACCTTAGCATTAGTCAGTCCACGGTAACTACAGAAACTGACTGGGGACAGCAGAGTGTGGCTTTAGGCTCCAGCAGTGAACCTGGGGTATGCCGGAGCAGGAACACCAAGAGCCTGGTTACATTTTTGGCATGTGTCACTTATTACCTTTGCAGCATAAAAGACTTAGGATAATCTACAGATGTGAGCAAATCACTCAGGTATTCCAAGGCTTCAGGGGTTCTCTCAGATACACAATTATTGTTCTATCAGCATCATTATTCTTAATAGCCACCGTGTGTTGAACACCAACTATATACCAGGCATATAGTAGTAGATTACACAAATGGCTCTAATCTTCACAGTGACCCTACTATGCCAGTATCATTGTCCCCAATTTGCAAATGAAAAAAAGTTGAGGTTCAGAGCAGTTATATAACTTGGCTAATGCCTCAAAGTTAATACACAGTGTGGCCAAGATTCACGGCCCGATCTCTCAGGTCTGCCGTTTTGTTTTGTAGTGCTGTGATGGAACTCAGGGCTGTGTGCATGCTAGGCAAGTGTTCTGCCACTGGGCTATACCTCCAGCCCTTGTCAGTTCTCCCAGTAATAGTAGAAATCTCTCCTGCTCTCTCTCTGGAGTGTAGGATGGCTTTGAACTTGTGGCAATCCTCCTGCCTCAGCCTAACAAGTTGTGAGATCTCGGCTTGAGCCACCATGCCCGCAGGAATGGCTCTCTTAAAATGTTGGTGGTCCCCCTCACCGCCTCTGCTTATCTGATTGCCTAAGTTTGGCATATGTGGCTATATTACATTCTTTTTTTTAGAGACAGGGTCTTATTATGTATGTAGTCTAGACTGGCCTTGAACTCACTATGTAGCCCAGACCGGTTTTGAACTCCTGATCCTCCTGCTTCAGCCTCCCAAGTGCTGGGATTACAGGTGTGCACCACCACGCTAAATTTAATTACATTTACATTGGAAGACAATGATGGGATGGGTTTATTAGCCCAGGAACCCCGCTCTTTACCCCCGCTCTTTGTTGCCCTTGACATTAGGCCCTTGGCTGCCCTAAGTACCGTACTGGCTTCCTCAGGCCCTCCCAAAGCCCCAGCCCTCGCATCATTCCTACTCTCCATCGCCACAGTGCCACTTGTGTGGCAGGGTTTGCGGGAGTGGGGGAGGGGAAGGGGCTGGAGGGTCAGCTGTGGCGGGGTCACCTTGGTCTCGCTGGGAATAGTTAGAGAATCCAATAATGGTCCGCCTCCTCCTCAGGGTAGACTTGGGGTTCACGGCTGTCTCTGTGTTAAACAACGAGTGTCGCAAACTTGCGTGTCTATCAAACTGCTGCCCTGTAGCCAAAATAAAGACACCTGGGTGCATCCTGGTTTCTGCTGAAAATACGGTGGAAATGGGCCTGAGGCAAAGAGAAGGGATGATGGCAGTAGCGATGGGCATGAATAATGGCCAGGCAGGTGGCTCTTCCCCCTATCTTTCCTAATCTGGCCCTAGGCATGCATGCTGGGTTTCCTAGGTCACTCTCAGCTCACCTGTAAGTCTTGGGAGAACTGGGGCAGTGGTTTTCAACCCCGGCTTCATACTGAAATAATCTGGGCAGCTTTTGTCTTTTTGAGACAGGGTCTCGCTATGCAGTTCAGGCTGAACTTGAGCTCACTTTGTAGCCCAGGCTGATCTCGAACTCGCAACGATCCTCCTGCCTCAGCCTCCTGAGTGCTGGGATTACAGGCGTGCACCACCATGCCTGGCTTGGGCAGCTTTTGAAACTCTAACTCCTGACATTTAACTCCTGAGAGTAGGGCCTAGCTAGAAGAATTTTACAAAAAGTCTTCAGATGACTATTTCGATGCACAGCCAGGGGTGCGAATCATCAGTGCAGAGTGATGGGCTGAGACTAGGTGTTGCCTGAATATGACCTTTTTTTTTTTTTTTTTTTTAGCTAAAGCCTTTATAGGGGCCAGGGAAGGCTTGTGTCTCTAAAAACCTGCCCAGTGTCCCCACCATCCAAGCCTGATGACGTTCAGCCTCACAGCCACCTGCTCACATTTTACCAAACTTGGCTGCTGCATGGTGATTGAGTCCTCTCTCTTAAGCAAGCACCGGGTTGGCCTTTGGCTCCTGGGAAGTTGCCAGGGCAGTCGGCGTGAGGCTGAGCCATGGGGACAGGTGTGTGCTTTTCCTCCCTGGTCCTTATTGAGCAGCCAGTGAAGCAAACTCTCCCTTCGCAGACACATGGCTGAGCACACCCCAGCTAGCGGCTCTGTGGGCAAAACTCGGGGTCGGCCTCAGAGGGGTAAGATAGCTATTTGGAAACATTCCCCGGCATCACTTCGTGACAATCTCATCAGCCCCTGTCTCTCTTGGTACATTTCCCTGGGCCGTGGGCTCTACTTCCTGCCTGTCGTTTTCTGAGATGACTCTAGGGCAGTGCATGACCTCATATCCAGAGAGCATCGCCACATGCGGCCAGTGCTGTCCTCACCGTCTTCCGCTTTTTCCAGCACGGCATGGGCTAGTGCTGCCTTGCAGCCTACCTCTGGTTTAAGGAGGTCCTGATTTCTTCAGCTCCTTGGTCCTATAGTCTTGTGATGTGACTCACCTTCCTTCTCTTCATCTACAGCCAGTGGAGAGGGGAGCAGGGATGAGTAATGGCACAGTGTGTCTGCTGCGTGTCCCCAGTCACAGCCAGCTGGGCCTCGAAAATCGTTTCCCCATTCTTAAGGTCATCTGGCCCCACCCCTTGAGACAAAGTCTTGCTATGTAGCTCAGGCCAGTCTCGAACTCGTGATCCTCTAGTGTCAGCCTCTCAAGGGCTGGGACTACAAGTGTGTGCCATCACACCCTGCTCCCTTCTGGTCTTTTTTTTTTTCTTTTTGCCTTAGTCTCTTTCTACTACTTCCCTTTCCTGAAAAACTTGAGGAAGCCCACCTCACTAGGAGACCTAGTATTTAGTGAAAGGCCCACAAGGCCTTTGGTCTGTGCCCCAGTGTCACCTTCCCCTTCACCACTAGCACTCTGACTCTGCTTTCCACCTCTGACTCCTATCTGCGTACTCCACACCTGGCTTTGGGCACAAGACATTCTTTCCCTAACCCAAACAGAACTCACCAACCTTAAACTTCCACATATGCTCTGAGGAGCACTCACGCTCATAAAGTTTTGAAGCTCTTGGTTAGGAACGTTGTTGTTTTGTTTTGTTTTGTTTTGCTTTCAGATGGCAGCAGAGTGGCAGTGCCAGCAGGGAGTGGAGGAAGAGCAGCTAGAGCCCCCTGTTCTGCGTGCCCCTGTTCCCTGGCACGAGCCATGACCGTGACGATGCAGGGTGCGCCAGTAGCGAAGAGTGGCCCCCCGCCCCAGCACACGGCGCATGTGGAGAAGATGGGCTGTAGTGGCGCGGAGGGAAGTGCACAGGTGGTGCTAAGCAACTCTACCAGAGATGTTGATGGGCACAAGGTCAGACTGCGTGGAGCAGGGCTGAGGCCACCGCTTCTCCTCTAGGCTGGGCAGAGGGAAGGGGCTATTCCAGGCAGTTTGCTTGTCGGTTGCAGACAGGCTCAGGGCGGCCTCGGGGGCCCTCACACCCTGCGTGGTAGTCTCATCCTCACTCAGCTGCCGTTTTGCAGGCTGCGGGAAGAAAAGGTGATGGAAAAGGTCTGCTGCCAGCTACCGATGAGCCAGTGCCCACAGGGTGGATGCTTGGGCAGAGTGGTCGGAGGCTTCGCCCGGGAGGCAGGAAAACGTGGACAGGCCTCCTGGCCAGGACCCACTGTTCAGAACCCAGCCCGTGGGACCTCTGGGTGGCTCTGTTGGTGAGCAGCAGCTTCCATGGGTAACGTAAGCAAGCAGCTTGAGGGCCCCTGTCAGTGGGTGCAAGCTGGCTCTCCCAGGCTGGGGAAGAGGCAACTCACCATCAACACAAACTCCAGACGCCTGGCGGACTGGAGCCTTGGGCTGGGGGTGGGCTCAGGGGCCTCATCAGAAGAGCGGAAGGTCTGCCCCAGAAGTCTGGCCTCTGAGTACTGTTCCTCGTATTCTTCTGAAAAATAGCACAGTGGAGACACACTCTAGGGGGCCACAGCCAAGCACTGAGCTGGTGGGGGCCACGGGCCAGGGCTCCTGCACGAGCTGCCAGGCCTGACTTGTACTGCTTCCTTGGGCTTTCTCAGCCTCCGAGCCACTGTATTTAGAAAGGGAAAACTGCCTGCCGCCTAGGATTATGAGGGTCCAGGAGAAAAGAAAGTCAATAAATTCAAGCCATGCTGCACTGGGGACCAAGCCCTCATCTCAACGGCCCCCACTTGAAGGGCTCACCTCAGAGCACAGGCCAAGGACACAGACACCTCTGTTACAGGGCCCTCTTTGAAACCCTGCAGCTTTTCAGGTTTTCTGCCACCCCACGAAGGAAATGGTCTGTGCGAAGCAAGAAGCCATCTTCACTGGGAAGTCCAAGCTGGAGCTCTCTTGTGGCTCACAAGAACCCTTACTTGAGCTTTTGCACGCCTGACTCCACCGTGGGTGGGGTCAAGTCTAGGCAGGCCGCGGGGAAGGAGAGGAAAGGAGAACATAGTGGCATAGAAGAGAGAGAATTTAGGGGCACCATCAAGGAAGAAAGATGTACAAAAACGGAATGGCTTGGACCGAAGCAATGGCTAGACGAATAAATGAAGCAAGTGAGAGGAAAGCACAAACATTCATGGCTGTGTGTACATTTCGACAAAGACTGTCGTCTCTACTCAGCCTCCTCAGCAGCCGGGTGCTTTTCAGCTTTCTGGGTGCTCTTCTAGCCTCAGGGCACCTACCTACAAAGAAGGGGAGCTCCTTCCCTCCGCCGGCGGTTGGGGCTGTCAACCATGTCAGAAAAGTTCTTTCTTATCTGGAGGTGGGATCTGGCATTCTCTGGCTTTCTACCCACTGGTCCTAATTCTGCCAGTGGCAACAACATAGAGCACATCAACTCCCTCTCTCTTTCTCTCTGCATGGCAGCTCCTCCTTATCTGAACACAAGGCTCGCGGTGTCCCTGCGCATCTTGCCTCTCTAAGGTCACCACTGCCCTGGCGAGGAGCTTGGGGGCTTATGGCTGCAGGCCAGCTGGCAGGCCCATTGGCTGGTGTTAACCTTTGCTAGTATTAGATAAACAAGAGCTAAGAGCTCTTTGTGCATTTAGCATTCACTGGGTACCTCTTAGTGCCAGGAGCTTCTGGAAACCCGAGGTAGTAAGAGACGTGTTTGTTTGTTTATTGAGGCGCCGGTGCTGGACCGCAGGGCCTTGAGCACTTTGCCACTGAGCCACACGGAGAATGTCAGTGTGGTTAGGTCAGTAGGTGAATCCTCGGCACTGTGTATTGGGCTTACGTGGGTGAGGCAGTAGCTACCCGGGGGGCACGTGGACAAAATTCCTGCAGGAGCAGAGTGAGTGAGGCCCACAGTGGGAGACCCTGCCCGCCTCCCTTTGTCTTCCGGGGGGAGGACCCGAAAGGCACGGGGACGCGGAAAGAGGAGGGCCGGGCTGGAGGGCCCACGCTGTGGGCGTCTCCCACGCAGCTGACTCGGTGAGAGGACTGACCCACTGCCCCGACTCAGCCTGCACCCTTTGCCCTCGGGGTTCACTGAACTGAAAAATGAGGAAGCGGGGAACAGCCCTGGACGTGAGTCTTCTAGAATCATCAGCCTGCAAGCTGAAGAGAAAGGTGGAAAACGCGAGCTTTGTTTCTGGAAAGGCATGGAACTGTTTTCTCTTTTTCTGTCGCTGGTCCCTATCCTCTTCGTCTCCCTCCTGCCGTTGCGCAGCTCAGCTCTCCTCTGGGCTCCGGCCGCAGCCCCCCTCCCTTTCAGTACCTTGCAACAGGCTCTGGAGATTGAGCTGCGCCTCGCGAAGCAGCTCCTCTACACTCGGGGGCCTGCCTGAGGAGAGGAACACGTTCACTGGCTGTCGCCATGACGACCTCGAGTGGGCAGTCGCTGTCGCATTTTCCCGACCCGAGTTAGCTGCAGCTAGGGAAGGAGAGAGTCAGTGAGAAGCGCAGCCAAGGCGGGGAAGCGGGCCGTGGCCAATGGGCGCCCGCGGTTCCCGAAGACCCGTCCCTGCGCGCTGGGGGGGGCGGGGAGGCGGATCGGCGCCGCGAGGCTGCGCTTAAAAGGCGGCGAAGCTCAGTCCGCAAGATTTTTCCTCGACAGATCCTGCCGCAGTCTGCTCGCTCCCGCCTCCGCCCGCCCG